CACTGACGATGACTATTACTACTTACTGCACTACTACCACGACCACTATTACTACTCCTACTCCTGCTTCTACTACTACGACCACTATTACTACTCCTACTGCTACTACTACTACGACCACTATTACTACTCCTACTCCTGCTACTACTACGACCACTATTACTACTCCTACTGCTACTACTACTACGACCACTATTACTACTCCTACTGCTACTACTACTACGACCACTATTACTACTCCTACTCCTGCTACTACTACTACGACCACTATTACTACTCCTACTGCTACTACTACGACCACCACTACTACTCCTCCTACTGCTACTACTACTACGACCACTATTACTACTCCTACTGCTACTACTACTACGACCACTATTACTACTCCTGTTCCTGCTACTACTACCACGACCACTATTACTACTCCTACTGCTACTACTTCTACGACCACTATTACTACTCCTACTGCTACTACTACTACGACCACTATTACTACTCCTACTGCTACTACTACTACTACGACCACTATTACTACTCCTACTGCTACTACTTCTACGACCACTATTACTACTCCTACTGCTACTACTTCTACGACCACTATTACTACTCCTACTGCTACTACTACTACGACCACTATTACTACTCTCTACTGCTACTACTTCTACGACCACTATTACTACTCCTACTGCTACTACTACTACGACCACTATTACTACTCCTACTGCTACTTCTACGACCACTATTACCACTCCTACTGCTACTACTTCACCACCACCACTATTACTACTCCTACTGCTACTCACTTCTCACTATTACCACTCTGTTCCTGCTACTACTACCACGACTACTACGACCACTATACTCCTACTGCTACTACACTACGACCACTATTACTACTCCTACTCCTACTACTACTATGACCACTATTACTACCCTGCTACCACTACGCCACTATTACTACTCCTACTGCTACTAATACTACGACCACTATTACTACTCCTACTGCTACTACTACTACGACCACTATTACTACTCCTACTGCTACTACTACTACGACCACTATTACTACTCCTCCTACTGCTACTACTACTACGACCACTATTACTACTCCCTGCTACTACTACTACGACCACTATTACTACTCCTACTGCTACTACTACTACGACCACTATTACTACTCCTACTGCTACTACTACTACGACCACTATTACTACTCCTACTGCTACTACTACTACGACCACTATTACTACTCCTGTTCCTGCTACTACTACTACGACCACTATTACTACTCCTACTGCTACTACTACTACGACCACTATTACTACTCCTACTGCTACTACTACTACGACCACTATTAATACCCCTGCTACTACTCCTGCTACTACCACTATTACTACTCCTACTACTACCACTATTACTACCCTTACCACTACTACTACTCCTACTCCTGCTGCTACCACTATTACTACTCCTACTACTACCACTACTACTACTCCTACTCCTCCTACTGCTACGACCACTATTACTACTCCTACTGCTGCTACTACTTCTATTGCTACTGCTGCTACAAATAAGTACTATTACTACTACTGCTGCTGCTACTACTACTGCTACTCCTACCACTGCTGCTGCTACTACTACTGATGTTTCTGCTACTTCTATTGCTACTGCTGCTACTAGTACTAGTACTAGTACTGATTCTGCTATCAGTTCTGATCACAAATACGTCATCATAGAAAGAGCGGATAGTGAACAGAACAGAGTGATTTCACAGCCTTTTACTACTGAAATTGTCAAAGTTAAGAATACCACCCTGTCCTCGTGCACTGTTTCCTGTGTATTGTGGCGTCAAATTTTGGTCAAAAAAACGTTCTAGCCAAGGCAGCCATTTTGGGTAACTTGATCACTCTACTGACAAGCGATAACATATATTCATACTCCCCTATCTGTTTTTGGAAAGTACACATACAATATATTTTTATGCAGATTTTATAAATACTGGTTCTAGTTGAACAAAAGAAAGGAAACGTTTAGTTAAGAAAATACATTTCAGTCTAAACATCACATTATTTTGGAATATATCTTTACATATGGAATCCCACTGTAATCTTATCAAAACAAGTCTGTTGTTTTTTACATTCACCTGTCTAACCTTTGACACATATTAGAAGTAGTTTCAAACTACTAGCACCTGTTACACTATCTACAGCAATAAACGTCAGTCACAACGTGCTAGTCACGATTCTAAACCGTATTCAACTTAAGCGACCTTGACCTCTGGCACCGCTCACGTCGGCTGTTCTTATCTCTGGACAGATGTTTAACCCAGCGCCCTGATTGTCCATTAAAAATACCACCAACTGAAAATCTGCACGTCTTATTAAGAAAATAAACGTACATTGTCGAGTGAGGTTACCTGTAAACTTTACCGCCTAAACTGAATTGCAACCGAACGCGTACAGTAAATTTATCCAAGAAAGCGCAATTCTGCATTTGGTAGTTTATAATTGTGCACATTATTATTTCAAAGTGCCAATCTTTTTACAATCAGATCTTACTGCTCCCTACCTCTAAATGAAAATCCGAGGACATCCCATTACGTACTACGTATAAACTACCTTTTTATTCGACCAGTTACGGTCAGTACAACTAAATGCGCTAACATCATCGTCTGTCTCGTCTGTCTGTTTAACTGAACCCGTGAAGATCCGGGTAACACTCGGTCTTCAGCAACCCATGATGCCGTAAGAGGCGACTAATGGGATCAGCAGATCGATGCTCTTGGTGTTGATCACTGGATTGTCTGGTCCAGAATCGAGTATTTACAGACCGTAGCCATATAGCTGAAATATTGCTGAAAACGGCGTTAAACAACTAACAATCTCTTCAACAGGACAAATAATGGGATGAACGGAACAGACTTTCCATAGAAGACGAGACGTACTAGGACATCTACAAGACATTAGAGAATGTTCGTTTGGGCACATCTATAACTTATGGATGTGTTTAGACCTATCTATTTGCAACGTTTGCTGAAGAAATGTAGCGCGTTCGGGATCTGTACAGAGAACAAGCTTAAGCGCCATCACCAACATAAGTTAAAGCTGTTGCCAGGGGAACTCGAAAATTGTTTTCATAAAAAATCCCATGCTATTAAAATGCAACAGTTCACTACTAATTCAGTTTGACGGTTATTGTGAAAATACATCGTACGGTTTTCGAGATCTGAACCAGGAATGGAACGTTGACGGATGAGCGACCCCGTTTCTATATCTGTGTTGTGCGTGCGTGCGTGTGCGTGCATGCATGCATGCTCGTGCGTGCTTCAGGTGTGTTATGATACTGGGCAGAGAGAGACGTTTTAATTAATAAACCAGCTGATAAACCTTAACCCTTAGACCGCTGGATTGATACGATTGCTATCAAATGTTCAATAAAATCAACATAGTGAGACATTGTCAGAACCACAGGGGCGTGTCACGCTTAGAAACAGCGTTAGAAAGACATATAGGTATATAGACCCTACCCTAGTACTATATAAAAGGATACTTTTATATAGTACTAGGGTCTGTAAACCTATATGTCTTTCTAACGGTGTTTCTAAGTGTGACACGCCCCTGTGGTCAGAACTCCTTCCATGTAGTATCTATGAAGCTGTAAACACTACCGTGGTGTTCTTGGAATTTGGTATTTAATGCTGTCGCACTCAGCAATATACCAGTTCTATGACCAAGCCCAGTTAACAAATCAAGGCTGGACCAGATAATCCAATGATAGATCATACTGTGAGCAACGATGTACTCCGTCTGGAAGCACACAATCAACAAAGACTCGAGTCTGACCAACCGATACAGTGGTGTTTGGCTAACTTGGCTATACTGCTTATTGCACTTTCATGGCATCCTGTGCACATGATTCTGGACTTTTGCTGGTTTTATAGGGTTACATGTAGCCACCTGTGATACCATGCCGCGGTTTGACATCGACACCCACTCAGGGTACACTGATTCGGAGCCGATCGGTCCTTTTATCCCCTTAACGCCGAGACTGGGTTCCATCCTCCGTCTTTGACATGAAGCAGCTTGGGATTAACCCACTAAACCTCCTTCCGGCCAAACCAGGGAGGCGATTGTGTTCGTGTGATGTGGTGTGTGATCGGTTGTATGATGATGTAGGCCCTGTTGCATACATGTATCTATCTGTGTAAGCCCTGTTGCATACATGTATCTGTGTAAGCCCTGTTGCATACATGTATCTGTGTAAGCCCTGTTGCATACATGTATCTGTGTAAGCCCTGTTGCATACATGTATCTATCTGTGTAAGCCTATGTACAAGTATGGAAGTTATCACCACCATAGCACAAGGGCCATGTCCAAGGACAAGAGACAATGTTGGCAGCGAAGACAAGCTTGATAGACAAGACTCGCGAGCCGTCTTTATCATGCGTTCAGTACCTCCAAACCAGTTTCCATAAACCACCTCAGACTTGTGAATTTGTTAATATGACCCGTTTCAATAGCTACCAGGGTGAACGCTTAACAGCCAGTATCATTATTATGTTGGATATTCCCAAGGAAGCTGTGAATGCATTAGGAATGCACACTGAAGTGTTGGCCCAGTCAATAGGTTTTAGATGCCATTTTCACGTTTGTTGAGATAATAGGGACCAAACGCCTTTCATAATAACATGAAATCTCTTTTCAAAACAGAATCCACAGGATGTGTCCACCCATAATACCCAGATAGCATTCGGACGTTGGCAATGTGGGCAAAACCATTGCCAACGTTAGGCCAACGTCTATCTGGGTATAAGCAAGCGTTTAGGAATGACCCTTCGATAGTGCTGATCCGAAGTGTTCTCGAAAGGTGAGGATACCTTGGTATGGCCCACTGGAAGCAATACCCGACATGAGGTTCACACGTTTCATCCATGTATAATCCAACCTGTGACGACAATAGTGTCATGGTAGCCATCACGATAAACAACAACAGCAGGACATTTGTGTCTCACTTTAATACGACAGACAGACATACAGTGCTTACAAGGATAGATGAGTGAGGCAAAAACAGTTCATACAAAAAGTTCTAGACAAGTTTAGAAGCTGTGACGGATGATGAGAGTAACAATCTGAACACACTTGTCAACCATGCAATAGCTCCAGGCAAAGGCCCCTTCAACACCTACAGATACGCAGGGGAGGTATAGTTTCTAGCCCAACACCATCTAGCTCCAACCCCTTCTTGCTGGGAACAGTGTGAGAGCTTGTCCAGATATAGTTCCTAATCTAACACTATTGTCTTGCCCTTGGTGGGACCTGAATTAGAACAAGTCGGGACCTGCATTATAACATTTCGGGACCTGCATTAGAACCTGTCGGGATACCATGGGTCACTTTTTGACATACTACAGCAAATCAGTTCTGTTTAAGAGTTAGTGAGGGGGGTGTCATGCCTCTCTTTAGTACTATACCTGCAATAGAGATGCCAGATACTGCTTCACACATTTTACCCTTGTTGGGACCGAAAATGGTCTAACTACTCTACTTATCCCAAAATTACGTTTCTTTACAAAATTAGCTTTTAAAATAGGAACCAAATGCAAATATCCCCGGGTTGACAAGCATGCAAGATGAACTGTACAGTTGTTGTTCTTCAACATCACCAGGCAACACTTTTGTGACAGAAAAACACTGACACTATATATTGTATCAAAAACACATTCTATGTGATTATGTATAGAATACTAATGAGAGCTTACAATAAGAACCATTTGCTTAAAAATTTGGTAGCCTATATGCGTACTGTTCTTTGATTGTCAGACAAACTGTTTGTCACAAATATACCACACTATATAAAATACTGCTTCTTATTTGGCAAGATTCCATGGTTGGCTAGATTGAGATATTTCCACTTCTACAAGAATGGTATGCTGCCTTAATTTTGTACAGAACAATTTCAACAAAATAGAAAAATAACACTCTTGAAGAACTGTGATTTTTGATGATTTGAAGAACTGACGATATTGCCTGGGACATGCTATCATGGAAATGTCTCAAAATAACCAGATATTTGGGGAATTATTTCTCTTCCATGGCAGTGTGTTGCTAACTTGCATAATTCTCAAAACAAGTACAATATTCAAAGAATGTGCACTGTGTTCGTACAGTTGTGGTAAAGATGTCACGTTTTGGTTTCAATACTTGCTCCCATGTTAAATTGTCAATTTTCAAACTGCATGATTAGACATCAATAAACACTGCAATGTCTTCCGTTGATTTACATTAGCGTGCTGGTCTGACAAAGCCTGCATACATCTGTACACATTTGCACTAAAAGATCCTCTCCAGTAACCCACATGTACACATCGAGATCAAACAGAGCGTAATTCCATCTGAAACTATCTTCCAAAGATCATTCAAATCATTAGCTCAACTAAAGAAATTCTTGCCTTTCAATTTGGGGTTTCAGCACAAAGTAGCAATAATTTATCTCTCTGTTCAGTCGGGTTCTAGTTGTCATGTAAATTCATTTAAAGAAAACACATTGCCACATTGATAGGCAAGTGAGAAATGACTCTCTGAACTATCTACGAAATATTTCAAGATTTATCTTTCACAATGATGGTACAATTAAGGCTTAATGAATTGATACTGACCGACAAACATGAACAGAACATTTTACCAGACATTTCAGGTAAACATATCACCTAGGTTCTCACTTGGGACATTACAGAATAGTTGTTTGGTCCGGAATTGAATGCTCATTTGGGTAGAGTAACCTCCCTTTGTTTAACAAATGGCGGCCCCATCCCTGGGTGTGTAACAAGACTGGTCCACCTCAAGTACCCTGACTTATTCAGGCTATGAATATACACAGTTAGTACTGGAGCACTGATTATACACTTTCATACAAAACAATCCAAACAAATGTGAACGTTACTTACAAAAATTCAAATTGATAAATTCTCTGCACATCCTATCCCACAAAAAGCTGGTTTTGCATCAAGCTGTGTTGAAATTCAAATTTGAAACACAAAATGCCAATTAAAAATATCTGCCACCATACACAACCTACTCCCATTCATGTAGATTTTGTGAATTCAGATCGGAAGGCCAGCTGCTTAATGGAATAAATGAAACTCATCAAGAAAACCTAACTTCAACAAACTGGCTTAAGTGCATAGTTAAAAAGTTGCAGTAACAACTAGAATAAGCTTATACAATATGTGTGGTAGAAAAGCTCTCCAGCCCATACAGACATGTTTAGTACATAGAAACGCTGGTTCTATCACATGGTTCTTTAACTTGTCAACAATATGCTTAAACACTTCAATGAAATCGGTGTCCCAAAACAATGTTTGCCCCTTGAACCATAATGAAAGTATATTGGCTTGATGATGGTAACACAATGATGGTGGGTGATGTGTGATTGTGAAAGTGTCCCGTATCCATGACAGATGACAAACCAATACCTTCATGTGAACACAAACAAGTGAGAAATGACACTCACCTCATCTCCTAAAACAATCAAACTTGTTCATCATTATCCAAACTATCCCCAAAATAAGCTTGCAACTTAGTATATACAACAAATCAACAAAATAGTTATAAAAGTCTTTGTGGAACAGATTTAATCATTCTTGCTTAAACATGTAATTTTAACATTTTTGAACAAGTTTGATAGTTGCCATGGTATCAAAATACATGCATAGACTAGTGTCTAATGACATTTGGCATGTTTATTATATTCCACAAACCCTTGTTTTGCACCAAGCAATTTATTATGCATAATGAGTGCAGGCAGGTGAAATCTGCTGTAGAAAATGTCTTAAAGCTACAAATTCAAAAGTGAAAGCATGCAATAATAATCTCACAACTTGACAATATTCAAAACTGCAAAAATGTGTTGTATAATGAATGATGTTGGTAAAGCTTTAGGTCCAGGCTTAACCATTGAGCAGCCTGATTTACACTGACTAGATCCCATGTCCAATATACTAAGCACTGCCTAGAATGAGCAGTGTCAGTTATTAACAAAAGAAACAAAACAATCAATAAAGCAAACTTATGAAAACATTGTTGAGCAGTTATATTTGATTGTGAGCTAGCAAACTTATAAACAGACTACAAATGAACTAAACTAGGAACATTTTTGAAAACAAGAAAAAGGCAAATATATAGTAACAAAATGGAATAACCTAGTCATCATTCATATCTAAAGGAGAGAAACATTTTGCCAGTGTATACCTGGGTAAACAGCTTCAATCAAACAAGATTTACAAATAGTCATACAATAGTAAATAATTTCATTCTTTAAAAAAAAAACTATAGAAAGGGTTAAAATACAGAACAGGCAATGCACAAGTTTTCATGAAAATAAATCCAGTTAACTGTTCCTCTGTTCCCGATGATGTAGTGCATCAAGCATTGATAAACTATTTGGTCCATGTTATTGTTGAAAATACCCATTACATACAATGCAAGGTAGAAATTCTTTCATGGCATGAAACAGTGGACTATCAAGTCAACTGCTTGGCTAGTACTGCAGAAGTTATCTCCCTTACACCTTGGTCTCATAATCTCTTCCTTTGTTGATAGAGAAATGTATTTTATGTATAGTTGACAGGCTCCTTATCAATAAGTTGAAAACTTCAATCATGGGATTGTTCTGTGTTTCACAGCTGTTCCCGTTCGTCATTATCTTGTCCAGATTGTAACAAATCTTGCATAGAAAAGCATCACCTCTTGTTCTGAACACAGTTTTCACGCACAGAAAAATAATTACACAATATTTACACAATCTAAAACAATACATAAACTTATTGGATTCTCAATCATTTTCCTTGTTTGAATATCAATGACAAGAATGTCAATTCAAAAACATTGTAGCTAATTTGGACTAGCATCCAATATAATATCAGTAAATTTTGGTGTAATATCATTAGAAATTCCCGCAGAAAAATTCAGACATCTTGTAAAAACAAATTAATTTAAAGACTGTGAACACTGATAGTATTTCAAAGTAGCATTGAAATATATTGAGACTTGTGTATATGATAACAAGTTAAACATTGTTGATGTAACTTCTGAAAACTCTATATAGGATCTGACAGACTTGATCTGACTGGTTAAAGGAGGACAATGTTCCACTTCTTGCCTAGGTCTGATGTTCCACGTCTGTGTAGTTGGTTAACTAGTAACTGTTAGACTTATATCAAGATTCAGTTAGCAAATTGATGTTTAAATGACGTGGAATAAACTGGCTTGTATATGTGTCCAGTCATGTCCCCCTTTCCAGCGATCGTAGCAATGTTGTGTTGTACAAATCAGCCCCAATGTATCCCTATGTAACACCACATGACTACAGCACCAACATATGTACCAAGTTTCATGTACAGTAACAACAGTACTAGAATATACACGCGGCGGCGGCAGCCATTCTCGCTCCATCATCTAGCTTGCGGCTGTCACAACCAGCAGATTGTTTTCTTGGCCCTCAGCGTCTGCCTTAGTTGGCTGAAACAGATGATTCAAATATAAGACATTTACAATATCTAGATTACACATATGGCATGATATATCTCTTTTTCAAATGATGTGAGAGCCATTTCCTAGATTTGGGTATTTTCCTGTTTGGTAGAATAAGATCATGCACACATTACCGCAAGACGTCACAAAGTGCCCAATCTAACTGGAAGATATGTGGGTTTAGATATTAGTCTTCTGAAACCACTGATTGGCAGATTGATTATTCTTCCTTCAAAGGAGGGGTATCAAATCTTCACACAAACTCATGTATTCAAGCAAATGGCACTGATGGAAAATACATAGTGGCTACAAAGCAGGGAGACCCGTGAAGGTCCGGGTTAGAATATTGATCTTCAGTAACCCATGCTTGACGTAAGAGGCGACTAACGGGATCGGGTGGTCAGGCTCACTGACTTGGTTGAAGCATGTCATCGGTTCCCAATTGTGCAGATTGATGCTCATGCTGTTGATCACTGGATTGTCTGGTCCAGACTCGATTATTTACAGACCGCTGCCATATAGCTGGAATATTGCTGAGTGCTGCGTAAAACTAAACTCAGTCACTCACAAAGCAGGGAAAGACAACTCTGAGGTAGTTTGGTCAAATGCTTTATGGAACAGGATCTTAGCTAAATCAGGGCATGTACATTTTAGAGAGGAATTCAGTTCAGAGTAACAAAATCTTCCCACTACTATACCAGAAACATGGGTGTGATGCTACAAGGAAGAATACTGTTTATGAAATTCTGGAATTTAAACCCACAACTAGAAGAAGCTGGCGGGGCCAAGGGACACTACTCTGTAGTACAGACCTGTAACAGCTTGGCCACTCAGGATCCTCTTTGAACAAGAGTGGTTGAGTGAGTGAGGGTTCATTAAACAAGAGTGGTTGAGTGAGAGGGTTCATTAAACAAGAGTGGTTGAGTGAGTGAGGGTTCATACCACTGACAATATTTCAGTTCAACCTGGGTAAATGGAGAACTCTTCAACTACTGGACTTACATGGTGTCTCCCACTTTGGTGATATCAATGAACTGACTGACACCAGAAATGGGCTTCACACATTGTACCCATGTGGGGAACTGAACCCGGGTCTTTGACGTGACGAGCCAACGCTTTAACCACTAGGCTACCCCGCCCCCCCGATATCAATGAACATTGGTACTGGTGATGACAAGCAAATCATGATAGGGTTTGATTCTAATATTCAAATATAATGAGCAGAAGATCCTGTCATACAAAGGTATGCAACTCTGCTTACCAAGTTCTTGTTGATCTGCCACTGGTCGTCCACCAGGAACTTGTACAAATACTCTCCTGTAGGCAGGTCCAGTGTGCCTATGAACAAGTCGTCCCTGAAAGGAGAAATCATTTTGACAATTACTTCCTGATTCCTACTAATCAAAAGGTGAATCATTTGTGTACCTACTCTGGCAACAATCAAGACAAAGTGAAAAACAACGCATCAATCAATCTGCATCACCAGCTGGTGATCACTCTTTCATGTGTCTATACATGATCAAAGCACTGACTCGCCAGTTCATTTCATCATCCCTTACATACAACATACACTGCTGGGGACCCATTCAATCCTCACAGATGGAAAAGTACTCAGTATCTTAACAAAATGAAGACAAAAAAAAGTGAAGTTCTTTAATGAAATCCAATCTCAATGCCTAGTCATCTACCCAAATCTGAAATTACTGCTTTAGTGGTGGTAAATCCACATCTTTTTAAGGGCTTTGCAAGATGGATGAATGTACACATGCTTCTGTTGCATGTAAAACAGTCACCAAATTCAAGCAATGGAAGACATCAGAACACATTGTACGCTGACATGTACAGAACCCAGGAGCAGTGTGATGTTACAACCTGTAGGTCACTGTACAACCCACAGGACACTGTACAACCCGCAGGACACTGTACAACCCACAGGACACTGTACAACCCACAGGACACTGTACAAACCGCAGGACACTGTACAACCCACAGGACACTGTACAACCCGCAGGAGACTATACAACCGCCAGGACACTGTACAACCTACAGGACACTGTACAACCCGCAGGACACTGTACAACCCACAGGACACTGTACAACCCACAGGACACTGTTTTCACTGTCTTCATGTACAAGCTCCACTGAAATGGGATCTCACCGTTTCTCAAGAGCAACCTTTTCCTTCCAGTCATTGAAGCTCCCGGACACCAACACTGAGCTTCCGCCATTCTCCCACTTGAACTCTATCGCCACCTTCAAGCCATTGTCCTGGATTAGAATACATCCCTGTCAGTCCTTGTTCATATTTTCAACATGGAACGGTCTTAACACATTGCACACTGTTTACGCAATTTACAGAGAGATTTGTGCCTTCCTATTTCTGAATAATATTTAAAGCCTGTTTAAAACGAGATCTGAGTCTGTATCCATTCAAGCTACAAGACATAGTTTATTACTTTGTGTGACTAGTGCCATGTGAGAGTGTGATAAATTCTCTTGGTTACTTAAGTCATTTATTGCTAGACATCAACCAAGAAAGATAGTTCCCTTTTATAACCATATTCTGAACATAACTCACAGCACTTGGTGCAGATGTCTCTCCGCTCTGTCCCTCTGTCTTTTCGCTGTCTGCAGCTCCAGGCTCTGCTGGTGTTTCTGACGCTGCTGCCGATGTGTCCACTGCTGCCGGGGCTTCAGGGGCAGCAGGTTCCTCCATCGGTGGTGGAGGTGCTTGTGTCTCCTCCGCTGGTGGGGGAGGTGGGGGCAGGGCATCCTCTGCTGGGGGCTCTGGAGCTGATTCAGGAGCTGGCTCTGGGGCTGCTTGTTCCGGGGCAGGTTCTGGTGCAGGTTCCGGTGCAGGCTCTGGCGCTGCTGGTTCTGGTGCTGGGGGTTCTGGCTCAGCTGGCTTCTCAACAGGGGGATCTGGAGGTGGCTCAGGTAAGCTCTCAGCTGCAGGTTTTTCAGGCTCAGCTGCAGGAGGCGGTGATGATTCTACAACTGTGGCAGTTTCTGCTTTGGTTTCTTCTTGGACTACAGCAGGCTCCTCAGACTTTGGCTCTTCCTTTGGTGCCTCCGGTTCACTTGGAGCTGGTGCTGCCTCTGTTTTGGGTTCTGTGGCTGCCGTATCATTTGGCTGTTCAGCTTTTACTTCATTATTTGCTGTTGTCCCGCCATCCGCCTGAAACAAAGGCAATATCAAAATGAATGATTTGTCTCATGTAGAGAGTTATCATTGGTCACTTAAATGGGAAGGTCAAACTGTACACCAAGATTATTTCTGTGCGACAACCACAACCTGTGTACAATTTTCTGCCCCTGAGCATAACACACACCTGGATACGTCTTACTTCCCCTCCATATATAACCCTCTTGTATGCATACACCTTACTGTACTGTACTGTTCTGCGTAACACATACACCCTGCATATACCAAATGCCTTTGGGTATAAAGGACAGACACAGACTTCACTGTTCCGCCTCCATATAACAATCTCTGTGTATATCTAACAGTGGAAACACAGAGACTACTTACTGTTGCGCCTCCATATAACAATCTCTGTGTATATATGACAGTCGAAACACAGAGACTACTTACTGGTCCGCCTCCATATAACAATCTCTGTTTATATCTGACAGTGGAAACAGAGACTACTTACTGTTCCCCCTCCATCCCCTTCTGCTGATGTTTCTGTTTTCGTGGCGCCATCTTCTGTTGGCTGCGTAGCTGTTTCGTCACCAGCTGGTTTGTCTTCTGTCTTCTGATTGGTCTGTTCTGTTGCTTCTTCCTTCTTATCCTTGTCCTTCTTCTTCTGTCTGCTGCTCTTGTTACCCATGATGATCTAGTATGTTATATCTGAAACAAGGATATTTTCAATGTATAGAATTCTCAAAGTAGTCTCGAGGCCCAAGGATCATCCAGTTTGGTATGCTCTTTTCCTGCTTGAAGCTGCATTCTGCAATAGTCCAGACACAACACCAAGGTCTATTGAGTCTGGACCAAAACCAGTGTCCCTACCACTGGGGCACAATGACACACACAGAGTGTACAGAGCTTGATAATCTGACATTCTCAGCACTCCGACACCTCAACAAAGACTTTCAACAGCCGTTGCGCTGAGGTTGTTTTGTACAACTTCACCATGCCACAGTCACTGGTTTGTCTGGTCCAGCCTTAGCTAATTACACAGGATGATATCTGATAACAGTTGACTGCTGAGATAACAAGAAAACTTCACACAATAAACTAAAGCTGGATGTGTGTATGAAGAAATTGTATGAAGCATTCGTAAAATACTCCAACTGTCCCTATGAGAACAGTCCATGGAACCAACTCCCTTCATACCTTGCTCCTAACATACTTCTGACATTAGGTTCAACTACCCAATAAAAAGTAAATGTATGATAAGGGTCCCAGAGTGCCCACATAATGTAAGCAATGAGTCAAACCTGACCTTATCACCATTTGCACATCATAATCCTACAGGAAAAGATAAAATATGTTAAAAAGGCTCAGATAGCATATTACTAATACTCGAACCCGAACAAGTCGCTGGCGTAGGCCGATTTGTTAGATGCAGGTGTAAACAGTCATAACACAGTAGTGGTGGTCTGATTAATTGAAACAATCGAAGATTGGTCGCAGTGACTATACGACCAAGCAATCGATCATGTTTTCTCATAATCGAACACAAACAATTCTGGAACACTTGTTTTCATAAACAATATATTTCACAAGGTTGGTTTTGTCTGTTACATTTCATAAGCACTACAAGCTCGTTCCAAGTCATGATTGAATATATCTTAAAGACTTTAAGAAATTTATGTTCCTTACATACTTGTCATCCTTTAAAGATATGAAATTTTGCACCAAAAAAACCCAAAGAACTACATGTTTTTTTTCCCTTATTTGAGCATTAACAAAAATAACCAGGAACATTTCATAAATGACGATAACCAATTATTTTCGATGATTGATCGGTTGTAATGAACCAATCATCAATTATGAGATTTTAACCAATTCCCAACACTAGAACACAGACACCCTGTTGATGATTCTCCACTCATTTTCTTCATACTTATGTCTTGGCAAAGTCCAACACAGATGTGATAAAGAGAAAGTGTTTTTTGTCTGCCACTGAGTTATTATGACATAAACATTCTACTATTCAGGCTGAAGTCAAGTAGGTAAGGCAGGGTTACCCACCAATGTTTTCCATTTACATCTCAGATATGACCAGCTGCTGCATGAACCACTTAATGTGTGAATATATCTTCACTGCGACACAGTCAGCAATGTTACAGCTCTTTGAATGGGTGGGAGTTTGGTTTGACACCTTTCAGCAGCACTGGTTTTTGAAGCAATCACAGACTAACACTTAACCTCTGAATATATATAATTTTGATACTAAGAAATCCCAGTTAAATTGAAAAGGAGCCTCAGGGAGATTCTGAGGAAATCTAGACTTGCTTCATTTAGGACTTTAGGATTGCATGGCAGTAGGGAAGGCAATGCAGGTCAGCAACTGTGAGACAGACTAAGGCGATCATAACCGAGGACATTAGAAATGTACTCTCACATTCGCCCATGCCATGGAATCAAACTCAGGAATTTCACTCACTAGCAGTTTCATAAAACATCTTGTTGATTAACAGTATCTACTTGAATAGGGAACACCATGAAAAATGGTCCTTATTTGGAGACAATTAAATTTTGGTCAAAGGGAGAAGTCAACAGCTTGCAATTAAGAATATACCCTTGACAAACAAGATCTTTTCAAATGAATACAATACCAGATTTAGCGATACCACTATGTCAACATTCCATGTATAACAGTAACAGTTGCATTAGTGCTAATATTACTGTGTAATAGCAAGTTCTAGGGCAAAATGTACAAAAATACCTCAATGTCTCAGTAAATCTTTATGAAACATATGAGTCAACACTTTCAAGGACAAGACCACTTTGTTGAATGTCCACCATCTGTGGGCCACATGCACAAATCAATCTTAGCTCCATGACTTGACTCTCACTTATCTAGAATAAAGTAATTGTATCTCAGTGCTAAGACCACTTTGTTGAATGTCCACCATCTGTGGGCCACATGCACAAATCAATCTTAGCTCCATGACTTGACTCTCACTTATCTAGAATAAAGTAAATGTATCTCAGTGCCAAGACCACTTTGTTGAATGTCCACCATCTGTGGGCCACATGCACAAATCAATCTTGGCTCCATGACTTGACTCTCACTTATCTAGAATAAAGTAAATGTATCTCAGTGCCAAGACCACTTTGTTGAATGTCCACCATCTGTGGGCCACATGCACAAATCAATCTTAGCTCCATGACTTGACTCCCACTTATCTAGAATAAAGTAAATGTATCTCAGTGCCAAGACCACTTTGTTGAATGTCCACCATCTGTGGGCCACATGCACAAATCAATCTTAGCTCCATGACTTGACTCCCACTTATCTAGAATAAAGTAAATGTATCTCAGTGCTAAGACCACTTTGTTGAATGTCCACCATCTGTGGGCCACATGCACAAATCAATCTTAGCTCCATGACTTGACTCTCACTTATCTAGAATAAAGTAAATGTATCTCAGTGCCAAGACCACTTTGTTGAATGTCCACCATCTGTGGGCCACATGCACAAATCAATCTTGGCTCCATGACTTGACTCTCACTTATCTAGAATAAAGTAAATGTATCTCAGTGCCAAGACCACTTTGTTGAATGTCCACCATCTGTGGGCCACATGCACAAATCAATCTTAGCTCCATGACTTGACTCCCACTTATCTAGAATAAAGTAAATGTATCTCAGTGCCAAGACCACTTTGTTGAATGTCCACCATCTGTGGGCCACATGCACAAATCAATCTTAGCTCCATGACTTGACTCCCACTTATCTAGAATAAAGTAAATTTATCTCAGTGCTAAGACCACTTTGTGGAATTGAGCTCAGGATGATAGACGTCCTGGAGGTACCGGAGCAGTATGTCAACCTCGGACTGTCACATTCCACTGCAGCATGATAAGGCTGCCTCCGGGGAAGGCTGGGAAGGCTGGGATTACGGTTTAAATAACTGTAAATAACAGCCAGAGTTTTTATATTTAGTCAAGGTCCTTGTTAAACAGTAACAATAACACCTCTCTAAAATGTTTCTTGAAAGGGCACCTGTATATATGCCACATGTGCACCACAGTGACTAACGAGTCCACAGAGGGAATGCTGGGTAATGAAACAATCTCGTTAAAATGTTCGTCACCTGGCCCCAGCATTTGGGAATTGACAGCTCTTGTAATGGCCTTATTCCTGGAACTGGCGCCAAGATTCTGCTATCAATGTAGAGTGAAATGACTGCTTAGGAATCAGAAGACCAAACCCAGATATGTTGGGGGAGGCAATTTTGTAATTCTGAAGAGTAAAAATACAGTTTGGGTTGAAGTACATCTAAATAAAAAAACATAACCTCAAGAGAAGTCAAGTGACAGTAAAGGCCATTCTTACCCACAGAAAACACTTCTAATGTCAAATCATGCATAATCGTTAATATAAGTAATGAAATTTAAAATATCCCCAAAACAACTTCTAATCCTCTTTAAAAGAAACAAGAATGTCATTTTCATGCCATTGTAGAGGGTTGGGATAGGTGTTCGTCAATGTAAACAGGTAGATACAAACAGGGGCAGATAAGTGGGGTGTTGGCATGCCCACAGCTAGCATCCTGTTGTAGGATGGCATACCAAGCCATGCACACACAAACTATCATTTCAGAAAAAACTATGAGAATTAAAGTCCAAAAATAGAAGTATTCGGTTTCTGATTCCCACCTACATCATTTTCAGGGAACAATTACACAATAAGCTTAATCTCCTCTTCACTGAGATTGGTAACATCATAGTACAAGGTTTAGGTATTCGGATTATAATCTAGTGACAATTACACAATAAGCTTAATTAATTAGAACAAGGTTTGGGTTCCGCGGAATCCAAATCAAAGAACAATTGCATATAAAGCTAACTCAATTTTGTAAATACTAAAATCAAAACAGTCAAATTTATATACATTAAGTTTCAAAATACCTTTATGACAGGTAATAGTTCTATTTCAGTTCAATGTGAGCCCAGGCAAATCTACGTGAAAACCACAAAACCCACCACTTCACGAAATGCTGACTGACATTCGACATTATCTATGGCAGTATCTACAGAATAAACTACTTTCCTAACAACAATCCACCAGACACCTACAGGAATTCCACCAATGTCCCTAATGTATAAACAAACCAGACAGCTGTACTAGACAAAATCATAATTCTTCTACAACGTAATTTGTGTGGAATTCCACCAAACAAACAGCATTCCTTACACACAGACCAGATGATACCTCGCAGATAGTGGACCAGTTGACCATCACCTCAATCTCCTCAGCCATAAACATCCCTCAGATAGAAAACACAATTGTGTGCCTGCAATCGTTCTTTATCAAACAACTAGAAACATTATTAACAACGATAATAAGTTTCATCTTTGACAACTGACTTTCTTCACCTCGATGACACACACTAATTAGCTGACAAATCATCTATACACCTTTTTCAAACAATCTCGGCTGTGTTTTTCTGACAATGCAGCTGTCCAGTAAACAAAGCAGTCTAAGAAACATGGCATCAATACACAAAGTGTTAAGACTTTCTAAAAGCACTATCAATCCCAATTTGATGTGATTATATGATCATAAACATAAATCTGGTTGCCATGGCAACAACTTCCATTATATCTTAGATAACAAAGAGGCATCACAAGGCAATCTTCTGCTGAAGCAGCTTAGAGACAGAGAGATGC